GTAGCCAGCGGATTCCTCAGCTGGACCCAAGTATGGCAGCTTGGCCTCACCAGCCTTCGTCCCTTAGTCTGGAGTGACTCCCAGGCTGGTGCTCTTAACTTTACAAGTGCTCTATCCCTAGGTGTGGTCAATATCCCAGGCCACCTGAATCCCACTGATTCCCACCGCCAGATGCTGGCAAGCTCCTCTTCCCATCTCTGTCGCCCTGGTTTGGGGATTCTTGTGTGGGTTGAGAACCCAGGCTCCTAGGGGGAGGGAATTCCGCAGCTCTGCTATTCCTCAGGCTTCTCATTGCCATGCACCTGTGTGAGAAGGCTATGCCTTCCCACGTTTTCACCCTTCTTACCAATCTCTCTGTGGCTCTGTACTTCATGGCTATATTTCAGATCAGCTAGCCTTCAGTTGGTTTTTCAGGTTGATTGTTCTGTAATTTAGTTGTAAATCAGTTTGAAGCTGGGAGCAGTGGACACAGCTTCCAAGGTTCTCTGCAACCATCTTGGAATCTCTATGTACTAGAAGCCCAGTGCATGAAATTTGTGCAAGATAGGCCTTTTCCCTCCAGCTGCCTGCACCAGCTTTGCTCTGGCCTCCCAGGGCCTGGGCTTCCCTCACAGCTCCAGCTTCATCTGGAAGGATGTCCAGCCAAATTAGCATATTACACTTTTATTATTATAGATTATACTTTACTGTGCCAGCTATTACCATTGTGAGACATGGTTAAAGATAGAAAGGACCTCCCAGTAAAATGTAAAAACAAAGCAAACCAAAAAAAGACTTACGGTAAGGATATGGAACAATCACAAGTTGATCAAAACATAGATTGGTCTAATCACTTTGGACATTAACTTGTAAAGTTAAGAATGCACAACTCTATGGCCCAGCATCTAAGAGAAACTCCTAATTTACATACACCAGAAGACAGGTACAAAATGTCCATAAATTTTGTTATTAGTGTTGTTTCTAATAACAAAAAGAAACAATCCAAATGATTATTGAAAGGAGGAAGAATAAATAAAGCTTTTATAGCCATAAAAAGCAGTGAACCACAGGTGTATGTGTGTGTAAAGATATATTTCATTTGAATGAACCTCATAAACTTAATGTTGAGTAGAAAAAGCAAGTTGTTGAAAACAGAAACAAGGTAAGTCCATTTATATAAAGTTCAGTTATCTAATCCTGCATCTTTTCATGTTTTTATTTGCCATCTGTATGTCCTCTTCTGTGAAATCTCAGTTTTTTCTCTTATTTTCTCATCAGATTATTTACTCTTGAGTTTTGAGATTTATTCATGTCAAAATGTCTTTTAAAACATTTCTGTTTCCTTTTCCCCTTCCTAATATTTAGAAAACTAAAAGTTTAAGAAGAGGACCACCTCAGCAAATGTATTCAAAGTTTGGATCAGTGCCTATGGTGACTGAAAAGGTGAGAGGGGAGAAAATGAAGATGCTTGTTCAGAAAAACTCCTGCTTTTGTTGTAAGTTCTATTTAAATGCCATCAGTCACTTGAAATTGTTCTCTGCTATTTCTTTTCCCCCAAAGCCTGCCAGGGCATGCCAATCTGTAAATGCAAGTGTGCAGAACCTCCTGCAGATGGTGCAGCATTATGGGCCACAGATTCTTCAGAAACCTGCTGAAGCTGCTGAGCCTAGATGTCTCTACAAACCTGCTAGAACAGCTTCCCAGTGTAAAGCGGTACCTCCTGACTCCAGAAAATCTGTTTCCATTTGTGACAATTTGTCTGAACTTTTGATGGCGATGCAGGAAGAGCTGGACCAAATGGGTGTGTAAGTATTTTTATTTTTTACCAGAAGAAATAGCAAGACGTTTAGGTATTATTTTCCTTCTTAGTCTTAAGAGCAGTGCCACTTACAAATTTTTAATGGTCTTACTTAGTCATTTGGACTTATCTTGATCTGTAGATTTCTTGTCACTGATTTTTCATTGTATTTATTGATACTACTGGATTTAAATTTTCAACTGTGTATAATTACTATTAATCTAATCTAAGGAGTCTCTGTAGTCCCAAGATCTCAACTTATAGCACAATATTATTGTCATTCTAACAAATGAGTACTGGTGATCTTAAATTATAACTCACAAAAGCTTTTAGAAGAAAGATTATTTTTGTGGGTTTTTGTTTTTTTTTTAATAATCTTTTAGTTATATGAATGATTTCATTAGACAAATAGGAATGTAGTCTCTTGTTTTAAACTCTGGCTGGTCTGCATTACAGGTTGAAGTATCCATAGCAAACAAAATTTTGTATGAGATACATTTTTTTAGCCCCAAGTTTAAATATATATTTAACAAAATTCCAGAAAATATATGATTTGGCTAGCCAGCTAATTGAACTAAGACTAATGTAGAAGAGGTAACTAGTTCCTTTGGCAGTATTTCTTTGAGTAGGCTATCTAAGGAATTCTCTGGCAAATACTTCTATAGCTGGAATTCTTCCAAAGATCCTACGTTAATAATTCCAAAGTTGGAACTAAAAAGAATACTTTATGCCTCTATTTAAGGACATCAGAATATTTTGCTACATTTAGCTATAAACATCAAGAATTTGGACTTTTTTAAAACTTCTTTAAGACCCTGAGTCTAAGATATTTCTATATATATATCTAGTCTCAAATCATAAGAACCTATTTATATTTATCATATGTTTAATTAGATAGTCCTAATTATAGGAACAGACTGTCTTTGAAGATTAATATTTAACTCTGACTAAAATTTATGTGTCTAATATTTGCTTTTCTTTCATAGAGAACACCAAGAGCTACTGAATCAAATGAAGGAAACTGAAAGCCACACAGTCTGTGAAGACATAGAATGTGAACTAGAGCATTTAGTCAAGAAAATGGAAATTAAAAGAGAACAGATTTCCAAACTGATGAAGCATCAAGACAATGTAAGAAAGTTTTAGTAAAAGATTTTAGTAAAAAGATAATATACCAGGATTCAGTGTATATCTCTGTATGACCTTCCAAATTTGAGGTCTGTATGTATGACTTAGTGAAAAGATGATAAACAGGAGTCACTCGTGCCTATTATAGAATAGAGCCTTTTGTTCCATCAGAATAACATGGCCTCCTACAGAACGCTCCAAGATAAGATAATAAGGGAGGAAGAAAATTTAGTTATGTATTGAGAAATGTCTTTGGGAATATAGTGAGGTGTGCTAAATTTGCTTTATAACCTTTCCAGTTACCCTTTTCGCATTTCCCTTCTTATTCCTCCCTTCTCTGATTCCTTAATGAAGCTCCTTATGTTGACAGGTCTCTAATTCAGTACCATATATGAACCTGGCTCCATAAGTAGTACCCAATCCTATAACCACTATTTCCACTTTCCCAGAAAAAAACTATGCTTTATTGCATTCTCTGAGGATCTGTGCTGTGGTAAGGTGGTGAGAGAGACTCTATCCTGGGAATTCTTAATATCGATAACTAAGAGTGGCATAATAATTTTATATATTTTATCAGAGCAATCATGGATTATTATTATATCCCAGAATAATAACTTTAAGTGGGAATATTAACATTATTACACTGCTGGAGCAGAAGGCAGAGGGAGTCTTTTTAGGAACTCTCAAGTCTCATAGCCATCAGCCTGTGTAATGACATTAATATAAGTTGGTGATATATTAACCTCACAATGAAGCCTCCCCCTCTCTATAGGACAGTAATAAAGGGTGCAGGATTTTACTGCCTTTATTCTGTGGCAAACAAAGAAAGAGGGCCCAGCCGGCATGGCTCAGTAGTTGAGCATTGACCTCTGAACCAGAAGGTCATGGTTCAATTCCCAGTCAGGGCGCATGTCCGGCTTGTAGGCTCCTCAGTGGAGCGTGCAGGAGGTAGCCAATGAATGATTCTTTTTCATCATTGATGTTTCATCTCTCTCTCCCTTTTCTCCTTTCCTCTCCAAAATCAATAAAAAAAAAAAATTTTTTTAAAAGAAAGAGGGAAATGAACAGTTTGAAGCAAGTTTTCACTTTATTGGCTTTTAAGGCTATAGTAAGTAAAAAATGTATGATTATATAACATACTTCCTTAGGAGAAACTTGAAGGGAATAGAAAAGTAGTCATTTTTTTAAATTTAGGCACTGTGAACATAAATTATATTGTAAAAATATTTATATTCCATAATAGCTGTAGCAGCATAAATTTTCAAGTATTTTATCATGATAAACTTAATGTCAGCAATTAAAATGGCCTTAGACAAATAGAACATCAGGTACTTTGTGCCAGGATCAGCAACCCCAGGTATGCGCCCTTGACTGGAATCGAACCCGGAACCCTCTGGCCCGCAGGCCGGTGCTCTATCCACTGAGCCAAACCAACTAGGACCATAGCACCCAATCTTCACTGTTAATATCGCAGAAAGGTTCTTCTCTCTCCTCTATTTTTTATAGTTGAACCCATTTCATATCCTCCATAAACTTTTCTCTCAGCTTCTCCAGCCCACATGGATCTTGTCCTGCATTGACCTTCTCTGATACACGATTTTTGTCCTATTCCAAATTATCCCAGCTTGATTTATTCTCTAGCTGTCATGTTATGCTTTTCTTTCACTAATAAGAGCAGTAATTGTCTTGAGAACAAAGAGCTTTACTTTATTTCTACCTGATTAGCACAGTAGTAGGCATCTAACAGGTATTCAATAATTAAGACCTTAATGAGCTTTTTAATTTTATATAATCTTTATCCATCAATACAGTCCATCTATTATAGGGTATATCTTTAATGTTTTTTTATTAAAATGGTAGATCTTTTTCTCTCCAGGTTCATAAACTACAACAAAAAGTTCAAAATTCAAAGATGAGGGAAGCTTCATATATTCACCGAGAAGACAGCAACCCTAAAGGATTAAAGAACATAAAATATAGCCCCAGAAAATGTCTGGTAAATCACTCTCTTCAGAAGAACAGCAACTTTCATCCAACGCAAGTCCATAATCTTCAAATGAAATTAAGAAGAGATGATATCATGTGGGAACAGTAACACTATAGCAGAACTGTCACCTTAAATGAACTGTCAATGAGATCTTATATTGTTAAAGTGGTTTTAACTTAATATATCTTTATGAAATTTTGAATTATGTTTCTAGCCTCTATAAAGTGTCAAGTTGTAGTATCTTTTAATTAATGCCTAATGATCTAGGAGTCCCAAATAATAAATGATACACTGTTTTGTTTTTCTTACTGACAAATACTAATCTCACCATATTTTAGAAACATTGTTCACTTTCAGAGATCTTAAACTAAATCTGAGAATTATATTGGATTGATGATATTTAAAATTGAGCTTCAATTTGAAATACTATTTCGAGTACCATCCCACTTTTTCATTTAGGCCTGTAACCCTAAGAATCAATGTAAAATTAATAGAGTATGGAAAGGTTTTGTAACTTTCCTCCCTAGCTTGTTTTAGAGCTGTGAAATGTTTTTCTTTTTTGGAATGGAAAGCTTTGTAAAGAAGCCTTTAGCCCAAGTTTCTATGACAATTACCAGTAAGAACCCATAGTTACTTAAATTTTAAATGACAGCCCAGCTGCAAAAGCTTTCCTCTACTATTCCATTCTCCTTTACAAGTCTTTTTATAACTATAGCTTTTGGTGACTTAGTCTTTGCATTATTTATAATATTCATCAGTATAAGTTGAGAATGAGTTTTCAGGACCCTCAAAGCCAGCAGATTTTTTATAGGAAATTATGGGAAGAAGTTGGACATTTTATTACCTCATCCAGTAAAAGTTTGAGGAAATATGGTACATTCTTATTTTTTATAGTTTTAAATTGGTGCTATAAAAGATTTCTGTGTATTTGTATATTTTATAATAAATTAACATTTGTTGACCAATCTTGCCAGGAGCCTTTGGAAACTAGTATGACTCTTCTGAACTTGTTGTTTTCTAACTGAAATCCCTCAGGACAACTGAGAATTGCAGTCATTAACTGAAATAAAAATAGGAGACTGACAGGAAAGGCAAGCTAGGAGGGAAGAACTCAGAAAACAGGGTAATAGTTTAAGAAATGGTGATTCCAAGGGGAGAGGATTAGAGGTATATCTTTATTGAGTCCACAGCTGGGGGAATGTTCCAGCTAAGATGTAAAAGCATTTTTGGTCAAGATTGTAGGGAGCTAGGAAAAGCAATATTTTTTTTAATATATTTTATTGATTTTTTACAGAGAGGAAGAGAGAGGGATAGAGAGTTAGAAACATCAATCAGCTGCCTCCTACAAGCCCCCCACTGGGGATGTGCCTACAACCAAGGTACATGCCCTTGACCAGAATCAAACCTGGGACCTTTCAAATCAAACCTGGACGCTCTATCCACTGAGCCAAACCGGTTTCGGCAGGAAAAGCAATATTAATGGGAGTGGGCTAGAAGGGGTCAATGAATATGTGTGTGTGTGTGGGGGGGGGAGTGTGCATATGTAATACATATTTCATAAAGATTTAAATTTTTACAAAGGACAGTTTATGTCTTAGGAAATTCCCAAAAAGTGCATAGGTGAAGGGGTAACTGTCTTTCTGGGGAGAACTAGATTCCTTCTCAGTAAGAGAAGCTGCACTAGGTTAGAAGACCTTTCTGTGCCTGAAGTGAGGAAATGGCTGACTAGGCAAACTGATGCTTGGAATTGTCCTTGAAAATAACTAACGGCAGAGAGAAAAGTGTTTCCCTTTAGCAGTTCCTTCAGCCCCAGATTCCCAGAGAGCACATCATCTGTACTCCTTTTTGTCACCTATTTTTCTACTTTACCTTTCTCAATAATGTGAGTTCTGTAGCTGATATTTAGAAAAAGGAAAAAAAAAAAAAAAAAAAAAAAAAAAACAGCAACAAAAAACCTGGACCATAATGTAGCTTTATCTTTCTGTGCTTTTTTCTATGCATTTAAGAAAGTGACTGAATATAATACTTAGGTTATCAGTAGTGAAGTCATTACTTGTAGAAATATATTTCTAAAACAATACCATAAAAAAAAAAAACTTTAAAGCTACTTTTAAGAATGTTTGGATATTTCTATTTAGAATTTTCTTGCAAAATCAGTGTAGTGTGGTAGGAAAAAATGTGATTTCAGAATTGGGAGACTTGGGTTAAAATTGTGATTCTACCATTAGTAGCTCAAACATCCAATTTTTGGATCCTCTGTTTCTCATTTGAAAAGTGGGGATTATATTACTATCTACCCAGAGGAGTTATTGTGAGGAGTAAATGAAATAACATGTTAAAGCCCTCAGCAAAAAGGTTGGCACTGAGTAAAAGTTTAATAAATGTTAAATCGGGGGGGGGGGGGGGGGGGGGGAGGCGGGGGGGGGGGGGGAACGGGGAATGTGAAGACCTAAGTTTGCATGGCTTAAAGCCTGAAAGCAAGAGCTGGCATGCATTCTTTACAGTGGGAATATTGCATTATAATTTACTCGGGGGAGTATCTTTGCTTTTTGTTTTATTCTTTTTCTATGTGCCTGGAAGGAAATTGCTTTTGTTTGTTCCCTAGCTCAGATTTCTAGGACAAGGGGGTAAAGAATATAGCCCTACCATGGTGCAGAGCTACCCAATCACACACAGCAGCTTGGTTTGGTTGCTGGGGTGACGCTTACTGAGAGGCAACAAAGAATGGTCTCTTGTTCCTCCATCACACCTACTGGACTAAAAATGTGCCTCAGCTCACAGACTGCTGCTCCCCAGAGCCTTTGACTCCTCAGGGGGTGAGCAAACCATTTCCTTCCTGGACTGGGTCAACTGTAGTCAGTGTACAAGAGTTGCTGTAGCAACCCTCCAGCAGTGCACCGCCTAGCAGAAACACGGTAGGAGATCCTTGATTTTGTTCGCAAAAGTGAAAAACAGGTTGGTTGGCTTTTTAATCAGAAATGGAGAAAATAAGATTGGAACTTTCTAGCCAAGATCGGTCTCAATTTTTGTGAAACTGTGAAACGCGAAAGTTCAAATGTGTAAAGCAGCAGGTATGGTGAATATTCTAATCCTGGAAATAGGAGTTGGAATCTTGCATTAACTGTACTTATTTGGGTCATTGGCAACCCAGCCATTTTTACTAGGTTATAGCTAACGCTGGGACAGTCGGAGGGAAATGCTCAGCCTCAGCAGTGTAAGTTTACAGAAGGGCATGCTTAATGTAGTGAGCTAAGCTGGCTGGGATGATATCCTTCAAAATTGTTTTTGAACTTTCTGTATAGCCTTTAAAAAATACAGCTTTAATTGTAGAGTACTATTCTTAGTTTTTTGAATGGATGTGAAGGATTAAATTGAAATTGACTTACGGGTAAAGGTCTTGCACAACAGGAGGGAACACCAATGTCCAAAACGCACCAGCTGCCATTGTTGGGGTAGAGTAAATAGTGCAGCTCCTAGTGGGGTTTCCTGGAACTCCAATCAGCTGTACCTAAAGCTGCACCTACCGAGAACATTTAATTGTATGCAAGGTTCAGATAAGTACAAGCTGACTCCCAGATGTATGCAAGACAACCTCTCTAAGACATAACAGCATCAGAAGGTTAAATAAATAAAAAAAAATCCCACTCTTTATGGGTGCCATGGCACCTTTTAATTAAAGCAAAGTGAAGATAAATAAAAATGTTTTACTTTTTGTTAGATAGGCCTTGCCCTTATCTCAGCGATTACCTTCGTAACCTATATCTTTACCTTCACGTAACTTTCCTCGTTTCATTCCTTTTTTTTTATTAATTAAATTATCTGTACATATACCATTTTATTTTTTAATGTAAGGAGAATTAGGCATAAAGTTAGAAAGTTAAAGTTTTAAAATATTGTCTAGGCCAGAGTTTGCTTTTATCAGGGCTACATATTAATTGTTTACTTCAAGAAGTAGATGCGCCCCACCAGCATGGTTCCGTGGTTGAGCATGACCTATGAACCAGTAGGTCACAGTTCATTCCCAATCAGGGTTGCAGAGCAGAATCCCCAGTGAGGCATGTGCAGTGGGCAGCTAATCAATGATTCATCATTAATGTCTGTCTCTCTCTCTGAAATCAATAAAAATATTTTTTTTAAAAAATCTCCCTAGTTGGTTTGGATCAGTGGATAGAGTGATGGCCTTCGGACCAAAGGGTCTCAGGTTAGATTCTGGTCAAGGGCATGTACCTTTCCTCCCCACCCGGGCTTGTGCAGGAGGCAACCAATGTGTTTCTCACATGGATGTTTCTCTCTGTTTTCCCTCTTTCTTACATTCTCTAAAATCAATGGGAAAATATCCTCAGGTGAGGATTAACAAAAAATTATTAAAGTTGCTTAAATAGTTAAAAGAAGGAATGTTAGCCCTAGCTGGTTTGTCTCAGTGGGTAGAGCATCGGGCCAAGGACTAAAGGATCCTGGGTTCAATTCCAGTCAAGGGTACATACCTCAGTTATAGGCTCAATCTCCAGCCCTGATCAGGGCCCATGCAAGAGGCAACCAATGATGTGTCACTCTAACATCTATGAGTCTTTCTGTCTCTCTTAAAAAAAAAAAAAAATCAATGGAAAAATATCCTTGGGTGATGAGTAACAAAGAGAGAGAGAGAGAGAGAGAGAGAGAAAGGGGGGGGTGGGGAGGAAAGAAGGAAAGAAGAAAGGAAGGAAGGAAGGAAGGAAGGAAGGAAGGAAGGAAGGAAGGAAGGAAGGAAGGAAGGAAGGAAGGAAGATAAAGGAATTTTAGTCTTTATAAAGAGGATTGTAAAGTGAGTCAGACCTTATAGTCAGAGCTAAAATAATAACCTTTTGAATTAATTCTGCTTAATCTGATTAAGTACATTTTAGGATAACTTCTGAAAAACCTTGTAAGGTATTTTTTGGTTAGTTTTTCTTAAAATTAAATGTACATTGACTTGTGGGGCATTTCTTAGAAAAATCTATTACTGAGCTAGCACAGAATGCGAAGCATTTCTGGCCTGAAATATAAGATTAATGTTTACAGGGCAGTTGCCCAAAATCTTCTTGCTGAACTGGAACGTACTTCACTGCCCATCACTGTAGGTCCTTTTAACT